TTCACGAAGACTGTCGAGATACCATCGACACTGTTCTATACCGCGTTATTTTTCGCATATCGGTATTGGTATTTTAGATTAAACATGGGATATTACGATACCTCGGGGCAATGTTTTGCAATTCACGCAAACTTGACTTTAAAAGACGCGTGCGCGGGTCTTCTTTTCGAAATCAACGATTCGCGAAATAAACGATACGCGAGAGAGTATAATATTCGTGTTTCACAAGACGTTGAAAATGGCACGAAACGACGCCCGACGGCTCGTGCCGGCGTTGGCCAAGAAACTGAAAGTGACGAAGATAAATCCCGTTAAGCCGATTACATAAGATTTCACGGGTCTTGTGTCCCTTTGATGATGGCTCGCGCGCTTTGTTTGCCCGCGCCTCGCTCTACGCGCGCGTCTATTTGATTTAGAAATCAGAAGAATTAAAGCGCTTATACGTCTCTCGTCGTTAAAGTCAATCCGTCCACGTCAGGATCGCAAGCCTGATGTGAAAACCATGGATTTCGGCAGCGCCGGGCACTGACGAATTTCGTGCCAGTCTGCGTTTAACCGGCGTTCTCTTAATTCCGCACGCCGTGGCGAGCACGCGCACACGCGTGCATGCGTGCGCGCGTGCGTGCGTGTGCGTGTGTAAACGGCTCGTACGTGAAACCCGTGAATGGCGAGCAATTTGAAGGCAGTCGGAGACGGAGGAGGGGAGGCAATTTTGGGCCCCGAGGCCCTCGTGCTCCCTCCCCTCTGTCTCCTCGTCGTGGCGCTCGTGACTCCTCGTTTGGAGCAGCAAACACGAGCACAGCGCAAAATTTTCGCCCGAATCTCGTCTCCCCTTCATTTCCTCTCTCTCTCTCTCTCTCTCTCTCTCTCTCTCTCTCTCTCGTTCTCTTGTTCTCACCCGCTCTCCCTCTTCCTTGCTCGAGCGAGAGACGAGCTCCTCGGGCGCACACCACACGACCCATTCGGGCAAGGGTTTGTGTATCGCAACGGGTCCGGGTAATATCTCGTTTAGAAAGATTACAGGTTCGAGAAGAGGCTGCCAATGTATAAAACAAACATCGTTAAGGCAGCCCTATACTTAAGACCCCCCCACCCGTTTCCGGCCCCACCCGACGTACCCCCTCTAGCATTACATGCTCGCTATTATGTGCATCTACGATACTGCTGCGTCTCATTATACGTGCGCGTGTATGTGTGTGCATAGGGTGTCACGGAAACCGTCGAGAACAGTAGCAGGCGTATATTCCCAGAAAAACTCGAAGCGGGTTAAGTTTACGATGATAATTGACCTTCACGTTACAAAATTTTTATGTTTCAGCTATCTCTATCCTTAATGTTAAATTTATTTTAACGTATAACATTTATCTAATGTTAAATTTATTTTATTGCGTAATGTTTACTTGACACGAAAGAAAATAAAAAGTTACATTAGCCATTGGTCGATGAATTGACCGTGAAGAATTTGTTAATACACCAGCGTTGAACTTCTTGTCGCACTTTTTCCGAAACACCCTGTACAAATATACATATATCAAAGTGATGCTGCGGGCGAGAGACAAAGAGGGTGAGAAAGAGAGAGGGGGGAAGCGTCTAGTGGATCACGCACGCTCGAAGTGTAAATGCGCTTTGCGTGTGGTGGCGAACGTGTCAAACGTTCGTACGCTGTGTATTGAGACGTATAGACCACCGGACGGGGTCCGAGAGCGAACGGGCCCCGGCATAATTTCCACGCGTATAATTATCGATGATCGGCCGTTACGGAGGCCCGGCGCGGCGGCGCGGTACGGCGCGGCCTCTCGCCACTCGGTGTTTCGCTGAAACCCGATCGCGAACGGGCGGATACTACGACCGGACAGAGACGGGAGAGACGCGAGGGAGGAGGGGAGGCGCGCAGAGATCGGGCCTCTCTGACGGTTATTATTTATCGATGGAGATTGATTTAGAGCGCTGCCAGTCCTCGAGATTGCGATCGATCGGCATCGCTCGCAATCGCGAGAGAGCGATTTCAGATCGATCGGGGAGACCGGTCGTCCGGTTCTGATAAGAACACTAACATAAGCCGAGCCCGCTCATTTCAACAAGGTGGACTCAACTTTTTCGTTGTCGGTTATCCACGTGTTTCGTTAATGACGCAAGCACTCCTCTTTAGCAACCGTAATTTCTATAAAGTAGTGGCTTTTTTTTTACTTACATATTCAAGCACTTAACTTTTGCTAAAATAGTATCTTCTACAGACGACACTATTTGTTTTTGACATTTGACATTTGTAAGAACAATACTCGACGAAATATTGCGATGCTAATTCGAAACTTTCAAAAGATTAATGTATATATACTGTAATGAATTAGCATTGTCACCATAATAATGCTAATTTCCTTCGTACGAATGTCATAGCTCAGTTTATTGTGGCATTTAAGATCTGAAACGTTGAATAAATTTCAGATGTAGAACGGCTGTCACGTAACGAAGAGGGATAATTATTACAGTTCGATAACGGATCATTACGACGTGTGTCATTACACGCGTATGAATTAATCATGTTGCCGGTACTTTTGAATCAGTCCGTTCCTTCGTGTGCTCAGCTCGCTCTTCGATGTTGCAAATTGAGTTACTAAATATCACGATCGATTATTTGTCACGTCAAACGGCAGCTTGTATTTATCAAAGACGCAGCTGAGATTGAAAGATCGTATGTGATAAGCACACGCTGAAATTATTGTAAGCTGTCCTGTTACATTAATAAAATTTCTGATAGCTTGATTGACAATGTACCACATCTAAATGTAGAGCATTGATAATATGTAGAGTATTGATAATACTTAATATTAATTCGATTTTTAAATTTTCAAACATTTTTCTCGTATACCTATCAGATCTATGAGTTTTGTCTCTATTTATAAGGATATTATGTTGCTAATTAGCGCTGATAAATATTTTGTCTAAATCATTGATTCTCGCAGCGTAAGCGGTCTCCATGTCTGATCCCCTCGTCGCCGACTCTAATGGCGCATATTAGAAGAGCAAATGCGCGCGTTCGCGAGTCACAAGGAAGGCGCGTTAACCGAAGATCGAAAGGCAAAGAGCGTGGAAGATTTAATCCGGGGCCGATACACGCGTTTCGCGCGATGGGCATTCAACGTTTTCGCATCGGTGTGGTCGTAAATCCACAAACACGCGTGCGCTCGCGCGCGCGCGTTAGCACCTGTATACATCGCACATGAAATATGTAAGCGTGTATATGCTCACCCTTTCGTCGCGCGGGCGCGTATACTCTAGTCTCAGCTATTATAGTTTGCCCGTCGTCTTCATTCAGAACTCGATATACCTGCCCGCTGGCAGCTCGGCCTATCATCGCGGAAGAACTCGGCTCTTCATCGTTTCTTTCTCTCTATCTTTCTCTTTCTCTCTCTTTTCTTACCTCGTTCGCCGCCTTCCACATCAAGCGTTATTTTCTTTGCTAGCACGACAATACTACCGAGCGATCATGACTTCGTGGAATAGGGTGAGGTAGATAAGTTCACGCTTCGAGAAAAGGAGAAAGCAAAAGTTGAAGGGCAAGAGAACGAGAGCGAGAGAAAGAGAGAGAGAGAGAGAGAGAGAGAGAGAGAAGAAAAAGGGAGGGCACAAAAGGGTGATCGAGGGCGGTGGGAGTGAGAAGTTTCAATTGCTTGACGACGAAGGGATCCAACAACTTCGCAGTGATATCTTTTTGCGCTGCTATACACGTCATCGGGGAAGTGGCCGCGTGATGCAACCCACCCCCGTAACACGTGCGCGGGGATCGCGGGAGAGTGCGCGGACACGTGTGCGTTGCGTGCGCGATACAAGCGCGGCTCGCAATAACGAAAAGTAAAAGCTCGTCGAGTGAGCACACGCGCAGATTCGCGTGTAATAAAATTGCTCGTCAGTATAGCGACGCTTTCTTCTCGCGAGGTACGTGTAGAGATAATGAAATCGATATGTCGTCGTTACACGTTCACGTTTTCCTCGTATATGGAGGAAAAAAAATCAGAATAAATCGAATTTGTGTGATGTCGATATTTTTTTTTCAATGTCTCTACATACGTCGTGTGCATGGAGTTAATCAAAATTTATTTCAATAATGAAATTAAAAATGTCTGTGTTTAATTTATCAAGAGAATTAAAAACTTCGTATTGTGTGCTCGCGAACACCAATGAGCAAGTTGAGACAACCCGCATGAGATTTTTTTCTCATGTTCATTTGAGGTCTCAGGTTCATTCGAGAGTACTTATTCCGCGACCACGTCTCTCAATGGCAATACAAATGTAAAGTTCCATATGTATATATACACCTACCTAAGTTTCACGTGCAGAAATAATGATTCTAGTCTTCGAAAATACTTTTTGCAATACTGCCATTATACCATCATTAGCGATTGCCACAGAAATAATTTGTTTACTTAATCACTAAAAAAAAAAAAGAATTTTGCGCGAATAACCAATCACACTTTAAAGTGTGAAAAACGTTAAAATAATCGAAAGAAGACTAACTAATAGATATGAAAATTATGTGCGCATTCTGGCTTACTTTCTACTATCTCTGATGATAGTAAAAGGTGATAGTAAGAATGAGTTTTTTTTTCATATCGCAGAAGGAAATGGTGCAAAATATCACCAGCGAGCAAACCAGCTGGCAACCACCGTTTGACGTAAACGCGAGCGACTCATACGTCAATTATGCTTACGTCAAAACGTTCCGAAACGAAACCGCAATTTTCGATAACGTGCCACGCAACAAAATATTATAAATAAATGGACTAAAGTCCAATGGCTTTAGCTCCAATCCAATCCAAGCTTTAGCTATCTTTAGTGTCGTAAACGTTACAAAATTATGTTGACACGTGCTCGTGCGATGAAACTTGGTAGACGGTATCCTGATTGCTCTATAATTCTTGGAGGAGCCAACGATCAGTTCAATTAACGACAAAGGATCGTAATCATGATAACGATGTCGAAGAAGATGACGCGTTGACACTTACCGGCCACTCTTCGTGATGACCATTTCCGTCCCGAGCTTGTGGAACTTCTCCCAAAGCTCTTTGCCCTCGAGCGTGACTTTGGGATCATCGACGACGCCGTCCTCCTCCGGATGATGAGGCGGCACGAGGGGATGATGCGGCGCCGTGAGGGGATGATGCGTGGCCAGGGGATGCGGCGACGTGTGGAGCATTCCCGGGGGTAGCGGCGGCCTCAGCGGCCTCATCGTAGGACCGCCCGGGCCTTGGTGATGGTGATGTAACGCCGCCGCGGCCGCCGCCAGGACCTCTTCCGGCGTATGCGGGCCCAGACCTAGGCCTGAAATTTCATCGAATGTCGTGCGATTTAGTTTGAAAAGAAATATCAATATGCTGCTTGTTCTTTAATATACAGATTATTACTGCGCATAAATAGCGAGAAAGTACGAAGGTAAAAAAATTAATGGAAGTCCAACAGCTATTTTTCGGTCGGATTAATTTAATCCATCAATCGAGAGAGGGGCTATAATCACGATTGGTAATCGAAAATCGGTATCAGCGCACGTACTGATGAGCGCAACATCTGGTCTCGCTATTCCACGTAAATGCAAGATGCGAGGCCGTAATGAGCCGCCGATCCAGCGAGCGGGCTCCGAAGATCAGCGACGGGATAACAAGTAAAAGACAGCTGCTCAAAGTTTCGCGAGGGTGAATCACCTGGCAGTTCACGATAGCAACCCCCCGGAGGAAAGTTGCGGATTCTTCTCTACGCCTCCCCCTGATGGGCCATCTTTTCCCTTTACCTGACCCTGCTCCGGGGTTTCGGAACTTTATCGTCTCTCTCTCTCTCTCTCTCTCTCTCTCTCTCTCCCCCCTCTCCTCTCCTCTCTTCCCTACTCCTACCCTTATTACGGCGACTTAAAAAGGATGACGTCTTGCGGAAACTGTGCAAGCGGACGCGAATAACTATACACTTTATTCTTGAACCGCAGAGATGCATCTTTAAGAATAGACCCGTTCGCGAATCAATAGTGCAATGTATATACTGTCTTCTTTAGTAATCGATTATTACATATCACAATTTCAAATATAGCGACAGTGTCGCGAACTGATTGAACCGAGGGATATAGCCACACGTTTTCTCTCCGAGAGAATTTAACTTTATACAAACACGAAACAAGTATGAGAATAGTATTATATGACGAGTCCGGTTTTAGCTTACTTAAAACAAAACCGCCAGACAATGCGACAAAACATTTTTAAACAATTCAGCGATAGGCGTGCATTATCGAGTAAAAGTGCGACGATTTCCCGGAAATATGACAATATGTCAAATGTACAGACGTACAAAAATCAAAACAGCTTTATTTTATGCGTTGTGCATTAAAGACAACAACACGGGTCATGAGAACAGAGTTGCAATAAGTCCGTCTAGATAACGCCGCCGTTTGCTATAATGTCAAGTTGACGAGAATGATTAATGTAAATCACCGTCCATAAATGTTATGAGTAATGATGCAGTTAATAGTTAACGACGTAGATACGGCGGCTCCCGGTATTTCCTTTCCTTTTCAATCAATTACCATCTGTAAACGGAAAAAATATGGAAAACCTGTTACCGCGTAATGACTTCATGATTGTTACCGTGGCAGATCTCTGTAAGTCAATTCTTAGCTCGATAACTATTATATCCCGTAATCTTCAATCTCGTTCTCTTTTGTGCGTATTAATTATTCCGTTACTAAACACGTAAAAGAAAATATAATCGTTACTGTATACTATATACTGTAAGTTTTTCTCTATCGTATAATCTTTCTCGATAAGATCGTCATCATGTTGATTAAACTAATGATTTACATATAACTAGCAATGTGATTTATCTTCGGTTACAAGACTTCAATATTAAAACATCAAATGTATTTATCACGCAATGCTTTCTTCTCAAAACGAATAATAATTATTATTATAATTTGACGAGTTTGTGATTCAGTCTATACGTATTGACGTTCATATTTCTCGTCTAAATTGTTTTGCATCAATGGATGATACAATATTTATTGGCGTAGGCGTGTTAAAAAGATCTATCTGCAACATTCAATTTTATCTCTGGTAAGTCATTCGACTTCTGTTAACGCCATTTAGAAAGTACTTTAAGCAATGTATTGTCTGTCTTATAATAACAAATTGGTCTGTGAGTTCTCATAATGCCTTACGAAGATAAATGTAACGCAATTTCAAAGAGAAATGAAAACCGTTGAAAAAAATCAAGACACCTGCATCTTTAAAGTTTGATTATTTTGTTACATTATCACCTGTTTATTTCATATATCCTATCTTTTATTTATATGACGATTCATAATTATATATATTTATGAAGAAATTAATGTATATTTCACATTATTTTATACGAAAAGTATTGCAGTCACTAATAAATTTTAACCGACGATCACAACAGATAAAAGTGCGAAAATAAACATACATATTATATAACATTTTTACGAATCGTGTTCGCGACAGCAACGCATATATATCTCAAATAGCAGTCATAACAATAATTTATACGCGCGTTAAACATATGTTGCAATTTTGCAATAAAATAAAACTCTAAAATGTAACGATACGTAGCTTCAGTATTGTCGTGATTTTGCATGCGCGTGTACGTCTTTTTATTGTACTTTTCATTGATAAATATCAGAATGGCTTTCCGCGCGCGCTTGTCATAATTTAAATTATTCTGCAATTACATTCTGTATACCGTATAAGATGCATACAGGAGATGAATAATTAGGCGACGCACCGTCGGTAGGAATTTGTTTGCAATCGTATTTGTTGTTTGCACGTTAAACGTTATGTGTATTTGCGTTTGTGTAAAGACAAGCGATGTGGATATAATACTAGAGTAAAGCTACGGGCACTAAGTCGATAATAATATACTGCGCGATCTCATAACAGATTTGCGAGACCGCTTATTCCAGACGCGGTTTCTTGCCGGGCGTCTCCTTTTTTTGTCATTATTTAAAATATTGGAAAGACGCCGCGCGCACGCCGTTTCGCCGATATCTCGAGACGTATATATGGAGTACGCAACGCAACCGCAATACGAAATGTAACCCATACTCGCGCGTGTGGCAAGGACTATAAACATATCACGGTGTCGTGACGCGCGGCGCGAACTTTCGCCAACGGCACGGCGGGCACGAGATCGATGCGATCGCGCGAAATGGGCGATATTTTTACGCGTTAATGCATTCAGGAAAACGGCTAGAAATTCGCCGAAACTCGTAGCGTATTAACCGAACGAAAGCGCTAGTGAACCGTGACGTTTGGTTATTCTGTTCGTTTATCAAACACACATCCCAGATCCATCCGACGCGGCCGAATCGAATTTTATCGAACACTTACCCGCGCGCGCTCGATGTATTTTGATTTTTATTCGCGCAACCAGTAACGGAAATGTGCCCGCCTCAGCGCGACGGCCCGGCGTTATTTAACGGGGCGCGTTATATTTTTCACGTGGAGAGATCCATGCGCGATGAGTACCGCTAAAAATGTCCAGACCGAGCGGAATGAGACGATTGTTTACAATGATTGCGGTATCGCAAATCGAGGGGGAGGAGGGAGAAAAAGAGAGAAAAAAGTATCTGCTTTTCTGTTAACCGTTAACGCGACGCGGCATTTATGTAACGTCGCGCCATTATTTCTTATCAAAAGTGGACAAAACTTTGAGTGTGACGCAAGTGCGAGGTTCCTGTCGAGATGGCGGCGCGGATTAAGCCGTTCTTCATTTAATTTCCATTCATTTTTTTTTCTTTTATTAATTTTCGTGTCGCTCCTCGACCGCGTCGGATTGCATATTCATTATACTGCTGGTGATTCCAGCGTAAGTAACACTCTTCCTGCCGGGTCTTTTTCACCAAGCCCTGTTTCTATTTTAATGAAAACGGAAACATTAATTAGCGCAAAGTGTGCAACCTTGGGATACATATCTAGTTCTTGCGACATACACACACGAATCACTTATTGTGTTTAATAAGATGAATTGAAGACAATATTGGAAGCTTTCAGATTTCGGGAGGCTCAAAAAGAGGCCTACGACGTATGTACAGCTCTAATACCTAGTTCGCTTCGGGATAATTTCGCGTTTGCAGCGGTTACAATTTTTGTGCTTATTAATTACGTGCGACGTGGAACTTTGATCGCAGAGAACGCTTTTGTTTTACACATCACAAATACGCGTCGAATTTAATAACTCTCTCACGATTGGAAAGACCCGCTATCAAGTGCAGTGAAAATACATTGCTTCATTGCCGCCAATTTATCAACGGCCGCGCGTGGCCTATTCTCTGCACAAGTAATACATTATTGAAAATTATAAACAAGCAAGCAGGAGTATAAAGCCCCCCTCGTCTCCTCCGCCCTTCTGATAAAGTACAGAACGCGGATTTTCGATTTACCGAACGCGATTTCTGCGCCACACAATACCTTAATACAATTGCTAACAGCAAGACACAACAATGCCGCGCACATTTAATCGCACCACGATCATATTCGAATTTTCTATCGTTTCACGAACGGCAGTTTTTGCCACTGCAATGCTCGCGCGCGCTCTGCGTGGCCCTTTTACACCTAACTGAAATGTACGACAGATTAATGCGATCAGTCGCCTGTACGAATAAGATTATTATCGCTCCGCAAAGTGGATTTGGAATTAATTTAACGACAGAGCTAATACAATTTTATTTCGGCCTTTGGAATCTGATCTAGATCTGATCGAACGAGTTTTACAAGGCGTTTCCGCTTCTCGTCTAAGCTGTCGCCGCGTTGTACATCCGACAGAAATAAAACGCACACTTTACTTTTCTTTTTGCATATTCAACTCCTTTTTTTTTCCTTCCCTCCCCCGCCCCCTTCCTCCGTCGCGTCGCGGTCGTTTTCTCCTTGCTCGCCGGGGTACACGGGTTACGCACGCACGTATACACGCGTCCCGAATTTCGAATGCAAGGAACGTCGGGCATGCCCTTGGCAAGATTAATCGCCATTACCTTATGGTCAGTTGGCCGCGAGCCCGACTAGAAAAGAGGAAGAGAGAGGACGAGCCGCGCCGCGCCGCGCGTTTCGAAAAATGACGGGAAAGAGGCACAATAACAGATGACAGATCGCCGTTGCGTCCTGGCTCGACGATCGGACGTCGCGATCAGCCGCGAGGACGTCGAGCGACGCCAACGGGCTTCGCGTCACTCGAGGGGATCGTCGCTGCGCGTCGCGACTACAAATGAACATGAAAACAAAGCACAGTGCCTCTGTCAATTTTTAAATTAACTGTGCGTTTTGATAATTTTAAAGATCGTTTTCTGTTTTAATTGGAAAAAAATGCGTTCAGATGTTTTTCGTTAAACAAAAATTATTTATCAATTTTTAAGCATTTTTTTACGTCGTTTAATTTTTCCCGGAAAATTTTCGATCAAATTCAGTTGAATCATGATATTATAAGCGAGTGAAAGAGCTGTACGTCAGCAGAAGCTAAATTGTCTAGCGGCAACGTGGTAACGCGTGTCTACCGACGTCGGGAATTAATTCATCATTTAGCCTAACGAAGGGAATAACTAGTTGTAGCGGATGAGGTGGACGCGCGTAATAATGCGATGTCAGATAAGACGAGGACGAGCGATGAGCACGTTGTCGGCTCTGGAAATCGTTCTTCCGATTCTTTTTTTTTTTCACGCACCTGGCACGACATTTGCAGACAGCATCGCGTCTCGCTGTTATTACTGCACACAAAGTAAAAGCGAATAATAAAAAGCGCTTTCGTGTTTCCTTTTTCTAATCCGGAGTCTCTTCGCTTCGTATGCTAATAGGAAACTGATCGCAACTCTTTTTTTTTATGTGCGGATAATTTCAGAACTCTTGAAAAATTTTACGAAATCGCGCGTGTAAGTAACGTTACCGGGGCCCGACTCGTTTCGCTCGCGTATTGCGTCGTTGCCTTTTCGAGACGCTTTTCCACAAAATGCCTTGTATTTTTGCATATCCGCGTGTTGCGCCGTCCATCGCGTCGGTGGAAAAACGCATACGAGACAATGCAATTCTGAAAATAATGTCGAAGAGCCAAGTCGCGCACCGCGTTCGCATCGCTCCGCTCATTTAACGCCGGAGATATGCCAGATCGATTACATTATCGCTGCCTAAGTCATAATGTATTGCCGGCCAATCGCGTTTTACTATCGGCTACGTTAGAACCGCGCCGCATTCTCCCCCGACGCGACGATATTAACGTCGCTATTTTGATCACCGATCGGGTGCGATCCGAATTCTTTTAACGTCAGTTCGCGCATATCGACACGAATCACGTTCCCGTGACGATAGGTCTTCCGTTAGATAAAAGAAACCGCGCTGGTCTTTCCTCGAGAACGAAATTCATTATATTTTCGTCTTAGGTTCCCGCGAAAAGAAGTCGACGATATCTATCCATATTACAGACCGAATTAATCATGTGTAGTAGAAAGATGTTTCACGATTCAAAAAGTTACAATTAATCCTTCGATTGAAAATGCACAAGAGGAAGGAGGGAGAACGTAATTTCGAGTTATTTTTTATTCTCGCAAGATATTCGTGAACTATTCTCAAAATATTTCCATACTCCGAAGATAATTTCCTCATTATGACGCGAATGGTGACGGGTCGAGCCACCATAGCCGCGAATTGACTCCGATAACTTTCTCGCCAAGTCCACTAAAAAAAAAAAAAACATTGTCTCGAAAAACAACAGATAAGCCAACGTCCGGCCATTGATGACACTTTCGGCAACATTTCTCTCTCTTTCTCTCTCAGGCATGAAATAAATATTATTGAGAAAACAATTAGCGTGGCCGATTGGTCGCGCACAATCAAATGTCGCGACATTAGCGCCAATCTTTATAATGGCACCGAACGACGCGGCAAACAAGGTAATAAACTGTCTTTAATTAGCGGCATTTAATATCAATAGCGACGGGCTACGTCGCTTTATCGTCGCGCGAATTAACAATGGCCGCCGCCATTCGCGAGATGCGTCTAATTATTGCAGCGCAGTATCGCGCAAGGGGAGTGAAGAGGGATCTCGCGCGTTGAACGAGATCTCGAGGAAACGAGCGGTTTCTTCGCGAGAAGAAGCGGCGAACAGAACGTGCAGTATTTCATACCGCGGTTTTTCTTCCGTGCAGCCGTCGCGCGCTTTGACGTCGCACGCCAATCCGCGCGGCGATCAGGATGTTGCGTAAGGCCCACGAGACGAAACGAGGTGACATGAGTGACAAACGAGAGACTTCCAGCCCGTGTCACAAACGTGTCCTTCCGAAAAACGTGCGCGTTTCCGGCGGCGACAATGGCATCGCGCCAGAACAACAAGATGCGCTCGTGTGCGTTCGCGAAAACTTCTCGAAATGCCGAGCGATTATTACGTCGATTTCCGGCTAACGAGAGAACTCGACACCGCCTTTCGGTCCGTTCTGTAACGCGTTGTGCGGCTCGGTCTTCTCACCGAAAAAAATGTACGAGAAATCAAACTCGTGTATGATACGAAGAATATTTATTAAGAGCCTGACGGACAAATTCTACGCGCGATTTATCTTTCATTTTATAGATAAACTGGCAGAGATAGAGATGGAATCTAAGCGCTAAGTCGGAGGTAAAAAGCCGCAGAAAATGATATGTCCGCAATGTGAAAACCGGGGAAAGTAAACGTGTCCATAAAACGAGCCGGCAACCTGCCTAATACTCGCGCCAGTAACTATACCGTCTCCCGCGGGCTGCAGCCGAAATAAGCACCGTCGGCATTACCGTTGGCACGCAACAAGTTTGTTTGCAGTTCAGCTCATACGATTATTGTACGGCTCATAAAACTTATTGGCTACTACCCTCCGCCTCTTTCTCTCTCTTTCTCTTTCGTCGTTCCGACATATTTAATTAAATGAGAGAGCACTTTCCTCGACGAAAACACACTATTTGCGCGAGATCGCCACCAGGACGACTAGGTCGCGCGAATTCTCTCGTGAGGCACGAGACTTTCACCATTGCACGAGACGGGTGCAACGAGAACTAACTAACTCGAGCTAACTAATCCGACAGACTCCAAGCACGATTCTCGATCGACGGATCTAACATAAGATGAACGTCCACACGTAATTCACGTAAATTCACTGTTGCTAATAGGTACATTGCGCTCTGTCTGCTCACCTGGCGTGATACCGTGCGGATTGAGGTGCGGATGATGGTGCGCACCGGCGAGTATCCCCTTGCTCTGAAGATGATGCGCCGCTATCGTTGGTCCCGGCGAGCTGGTGGGCGGCAGATGTGCCGCCGGATTGTAGAAACCCGCTGCCGCCAGGGCGGCAGCGCTAAAGTAACTCGCGGCCGCCACCGCTGAGGATGAGTGCGACAAGTCGCGTTGGCCGCTCACAGGTAAGGGCGGCGGAGTCTCCGGCGCCGCGGCCGGGCTACCAGGTCCACCGGGCGGCGGGGAAGCGCTACCCTGCGACGACGAGCCACCCAGAATACCAGGCGGATGGGTGCTCGCCGCGGTCAGCAGCGTTGAGACGCTAAAGTCCGTCGGCCGCGGTGCCGCCGGTGCAGGTAGGGTGATGTGGCCGTTCGGATTACTGGCGGGCGGCGTGCCGCCGGCGATCGAGTTTGTAAAGGACGAATGTTGATTCAGAGCCGTCGCTGACGCGGGGTACGCCATCCCAGGCCCCCCCGCCTCGGCCCGCGGCCCCGTATTTGCACCCTCGACCACGTTAGCCTCCAATTCTATACCAAGTCTACGTCGTTGACCGTCGACGTCCTTCGCGGAGGAGTCCACCTCCTCCTCCACCACCACCTCCTCAAGCCGTGATCGCTGCTGCAGCGCGGAGGGTTGCGGAGTGCTGGCGCAGTGGGTACCCCTGCACGCCGTGTCTTGTTCGAATCTCATCGAGACGGGCGGGTGTGCCGAGTCGCGCGAGATTCCTCTTCGAGTGACTCAAACCTGCTCCGAATGTTGCACGCGCGATCCTCCGCTCTCGCTCTCGGTTTTACGACCCGAATTGCGCGGCCAAGTCGCTCGCAGGAGTCGTTCACGAGCCGTCGGACGGACGCTGCTTTTCCGCTCGTCTGAATATATGCCTACGGCCTACTGGTCAACGATCACGCTCGTTCCTCCACATATCCAAGAACGCGCGTTCTCGAGAGAAGCACGCGCTCAAGATTGTGGATCGCGATCCTCGGAACGCCCGCGTTCTTTCGCGCGAATTTCCGATCGCAGGAAATCGCCGACGATCGTCTCACTGTATGTTGCCGAAAATTGCCTAGTCGACATCTTACGTCTACGGACGCTCGATCCTGCCGGCAGGATTGTCCGTGATGTTTTCAGCGATCTTTCACCGTGACGCGAAGTGCATTCAATGAGATATCACTCGCGAATCGTCCGCTTTCGGAGCACCTGATTCAATCGTGAACGAAGAGAGATACACTGGCACTCCGAATCGTCGATGAGTTGGAACACTCGCGAGCGAACGTCTACGGTGACGCCGCGTGATAGATCTTCAGTATAAGAGTCACTCCCATGTCGAGACACTAGCCGCGAGTCACTCTAGGCCATGGTGCAAATGTTGCTCACTAATCACTGACTTGTCATCACCGATTCGTTCGCAGTTCTCCTGCCGCCGATCTCCTGCGTCGGTTCCCCGCGTTTTTCTCTCTTTGTTCCTCTCAAACGCTCCGAAACACTGTGTTCACGACGGATTTGGACATCCGTTGATCGTTCGATGGATTTAAAGACCACGAGTCTTCACGAGAAAGGATATAGTCAATGCGTCCTCGCGCCGGTCGACACGCGTATCCGACGAGAAGTACGCGGAGTCAACGATGATAACGACGAGAACAACGTGACGACGATGACAAATAAAAAGGAGCAAGTTTTATCTCTTCTCGGCGGCCTCTCGACGGCGACGACGTTCGGTCGGGGCTGAAGAGCGGACGAAAGGTGTTACTTGGGTGGCGCCGCGATGGTCACTGAGCAGCGCTAGGATTGACACCTACTCTGGGGGCTCACCCCCACACCTCCCGCGGAGGTGTTGGTGTGCTAAAGTCCCCGTCCGGATTCAGGGCGGTGTGTACGGCGGCGGCCGCGTGTATATGGGTGGTCCGCGGATCCGTGTGTGTGCGTTACGCGCGTGTATATAGACCGCGGTGTGCCTGCGCCGCGGAACGGACGCGGGAGGCGTGAATGCTGGAGGGCAGCGACGCGAAGACTGAGACCATGCGGGGGCTCCTCCTCCCTACCCCTATGACCGTCCGGGCACGGGAGTGGGGGTCCGGCCTTCCCCAACTGTCGGCACCAGCGGCAAGCAGCCGCGAGAGCGACGAAGACGGAGACGCCACGGACTGACGAAACGTAGCGGCGAACGGTGGGGGGAGGGTGAATTTCGCGGCACCTTCTCCCTACCAGCCGGTCGGGCGATAATGAGCGCTCGTAGTCCGGATTGGCGTTCCGGCGCCAATCCGAGCGGCGTTGGACTCGACGCCTTTTCCGACGCTACTCGAGCCAGCGGTGGTCTCACTCGCGCCTTCGCACGCTCTCCCTGTCTCCTCTCCTGTCGGACTTATCCCCACCGCTCCACGTCACGTACACACGCACGCGACGCTCTCCGTTGTCGTCGGTGAACTCGACGTGTGCCCCCACCACGATGCTTCTAAGGGTGTTAACCGCGAGTACGCCCATTAACACCACCCTGCGTCACTGCCTTCCAACGAGGGCGGGGGCATGGGGTAGGAGGAGGGGGCGCGCGACCGACGTCGCGAGGTGTCGTTAGTGGAGCTCGCTCGAATCTTCGTCGACTGAACGTTAACGCTCTCGCATTTTGACGCGAGAGAATTTTCACGTCTGAGTTGCCACGTTGGTCGACACCTTTGGTGAATCAGAGAATATAATATTATTGCTGCCAGATATCGTTTCGCATTTCGATTAATTGCAACGATTGAAAAGTTTCTCGAAATATTGTCTGTTATAAAATAATATACATTTTCTGTCGAGTAAAAATCATATAATACAACTGGAGCGAGGAGACGACTTTTCGTAAATAAACAAATAATTTGATTCGAATTGAAAAATGAGTTACCCAATTATTCAGACACGCGATTCACATATTACTTTTATTGTTCGAGTATTTTTATTAAATCTTAACATTGCTCTAATAATCGGGAAATTTGCTTAAACACAAAAATATTTATCATATCTTTATTACTATATTATAATTAAGTTTGGATTTGCGTATTTTATTTATTTTCCATCAAATTTTAACACGTGCTCCGAGTTTATTTAACTCTATTATGATAAAAGAAATTAAAATTTGCGTACTACTACTGGATAAGCAAATTTCAATTACTCGAGCAATACGGGTGATATGGGTAATGTAACGGGTAACCCGTACATTACTAGCACATTTTGAGTAATTTGAAGTATCCGGGTATTCAGGTATTATTAACTCCATGTTCAATTACCGTTAATTAAAATTCTAATTTAATATAAAGATATATTTTTAATTAAAAGATATATTTTTAAATAATAATGAAACATAGTGTAAGGTTACAGACATATTTTAGTCAATAATATTACATCTTCTGACTATTTACTGTATTTTATAATTCTGGAACTACAAAAATTCTCGTTCGAACAAATCAGAAGGCACGAAATCACATAATTTATCTGTGTAAAACCAAGTTTGGCGACGTTTCATCTGAAAAAAAATATATAGGTGTATATATCTTTCCATCGTGCGCGCGCGCCCGCGTGGCGAATGTACTTTATCATCACTGTAATGCAATACAATTGGCCACGTCGGGAATTCACCGAGTTTTCCGCGAAATACCACGAGTGAGAAGTTTTCGAGAGCCGTGCCAAAATTCGCACGGTATAGCGTCATGAGTCTCACCCCGTCTCATTCTGTCCTTCTTGCTCGCACTCGGGCGCTCTGTCGCCCGTTTCAGCACAGCGGCGACAGAGAGGAAACCTGTAGCCACACCCCCTATACCCCTACCGTTACTACGATCATCCCCCTCCACGATATCACGTGACCCAATCCATTCCCCTCTCGCGCTCACCATCTCTGTCGTCCGCTGTGCTCCCCCGTCACGTCTCTCGCGGGTGCCGCCCTTCACCCTTTCCTCCCAGCGAAACCTCTCCTGCTTTTTCTCTGTCGTGAAACGCTCGACGCTCGTCCTTCGCGCCGCAGAGTGTCGCTGAGACGCCCAGAGCATCACAGTGTTGCCAAATCCGCGAGAGCTTTTCTATCCGCGCGGACTGGAATTATGTATCCAGAATCACATTATTCGGGTGCGTTGTAAAGAGTGACCGTCATGCTGAAACCGTCGATCGAAAAGCGTTTTTTTTTTGTTAGCCCAGAGCAAAATTTCAGAGTCTGCCGGGCCATGATCCGGTTTAATCGTAATTATATGGGGAGAGAGAAACGCGGGAGGATTAAACGTCTGGAATAAAGGGGCGGATCATGTTGCTTCATTATTTATTGCTTCTGCAGTGAAATATTGGCAACGTGCACCTTTCCATTGCACTTCTTGTAAACTCAATTTCTCTGATTTACCTCACAAAAGAAAAGTAATAAATAATAGCTTGAGAATTTGATCTCTAATCATGTTTCAAATTTCACATAGATAAACATACACTTGAATACAACTATGTTATATTTAGTTATGTATTTATAATGTGCAATTTATAATATTTATAATATAATAGTATAACATTTATAATATTTAATAATGTTATATATAATTTATATATGTATAATATACATTATAATATATTAATAATATGTATAAGTTTCCTCAAATGTTAGTAGTACATTACAATATGTGATATATTTTCAATATTTCATTAATTTAAATGACTTATGTCTACATGTAAGACTTCCTAAGTTAATTTTTAGTTGATTTTTATAATCGCATAAGTTTAAGTTGTTCATATAAATTAAAGCTTAAATTTTCTTAATTTGTTTACATCTTTAGAGTAGAAATTAGACTAATCAAGTTATTTATGTAACAATTATCGATACAACGTGCACATCAGATAAACTATTTCTTGTGATTTCACCTTATGCTAGTTCTCATTTGTCTCTATCCGCTAAATTGCCGGACACTCGTCGTAGACAGCTCATTCTACACTTTTCGTTCTCTTTCTTTCCTTGGCCGATCTGAGGAAAATGTAGCGGCGGCGATCGATGCTACTATATGTTAGCTATCGGATAGAGGCAGTGAAGCGTAAAGGAAACGAAATAAAGAAAAAAAACATAAAGCAGAAGGCGAGAGAAAGAGCGTCTGAAAATCCTACGGGTACACATATATTGCGAGAAACCCCACAGTGAGAAAGAGAAGGAGCTTAGTCGCCTCTTCGCGTGTCCGAGACGACGTGGTAGCGAGCGGCTGAGGCAAGAGCAAAGTTTGTCCTCGTCGGCAGGGAGAAGATAGCAGTGTGAGACAGAAAAAGAGAGAAAGAAAGAGAAGGAGAGAGAAAGAAAAAAAATCCAGCCACCGAGCGCCGTGATACGCGGAGTCAGGGGGAATGACATAAGATGGAAGGAGAGCGACGGCGCGGGCGAGAGAAAGAGAGAGGTGGTCATAATCGCGCAGACCGCGTCATAATCCGCGACGAAAAACATTTGACGAGCGCGCCGGGCTGGTAAAGGGGCAACGCGAGTGGGCGTGGCCCGATTTGACACCGCCTACGTGCCTGAACTCCCCTCCACTATCGTCTCCGACATGTAGGTGGGGGGACTAGTCTTACGCGACGCGCGGAATCGCACCGAGTGACGAGGCGAGGAAGTGGGGGGATCCGCGAGACGAGGACGGAGACTCGTGTGGCATTCATCCCGTGACCACGATGAGAGTAGGACGAAAAGACAGGACACACACACAGCGATACGC